TAGGAAAATAGCAGTATCGATTGATAATTGCTAGTAGAAAGAACAGGAAGCTCCTGTTCGTATTGTATTGTGTAAATGTGGTGTGCGTCTAAGTTTTGTGTGTGTGTATTTTACATGTTTGTTAATACAAAATAAAAATAAAACATTTTTTACCTTGTTAACAATATTTCTACTGGATCATATCATTCTGCTATTTTCCTATTTCTAAATTTTCTTTTCTCTTTTTCTTCTTTTTATGTGTTTTATAACTTTCCTTCTCTCACTTTCGGATATATTTTTTTTGAGTATCTCTCCCCCAAGTTTCTTTTTCCCATCTCCCTTTATTTCTCTCTTTATTTTTGGCTAATTTCTTTTTCAGATGTTGTTTCCCTTTTTTCCTCTCTGCTCTCTTTCTGCCTTTACCCTATTAAGTTTTATTTTCCATTTCTACCTTGTTAATTCCTTGTTCATTTATGTTGCTTTCCTCATCCCCTCCTGTCTCCCACTTTCAACAATTTTTCTGCTTCCTTTTCTACCTCTTTGTTACCTTTTAAGGTTCATCGTGCACTTTTTAACATTCCCAACAACTCCTCTAACATCCCACCTTCCGTGATCAAATTTAATACACTTTTAATATTTTTAGATTTTACCACAAATAATTTTAGTTCTCCTTCTTAGTTCTTCCTCAGAGAATAGTTTCATTGGATATGTCATCTTGGCACGGGCTGGTGAAAACCGACTCTAAATGTTCCCGCAGTTCTTACCGAATTTAAAAGTTTTTCACTTTCTACAAGTCCACCATATATGATAGTATGTAGCATCAAGACAATCACATCTCCAGCATTTAGGTTGTAAATTCGGATACCTACAGGGTAATTTTTTAGGATCTAAATGCCATCTATAAAACATCTTAAAGCATTTTGGATAAAAATATGGTGGATTATGCAAAATGTTTTTTTTTAAAGGATAAAGTTTACCCCTCAGTTATTCCTGTTAGGTATAATTACTGACTGTACAGTTATAGAGATTGACTTGATTTTGCATTTAATAACGCCAGCAAGACTGTTGGTGGCGCAATACTGGAAGAAGGAAGATTTGCCTACTATTCAAGAATGGACATTAAAAGTAACAAATCTAGCAGAGATGGCTAAAATATCAGCATATCTCAAGGATCACTCAAATGAGAGATATAAACTGGAGTGGAGAAGATGGATTGACTATACTCAAAATAAATATGGGACTAGTTTATGACTGAAGAACCAAGGAATGATA